ATTTTCGATATTTTCTATTCAACTTATGCTTCTGCTATAGAAAATGATGAAGTTTAGTTTAAAAGAAGAGAGATTAGGATACTGAAATTTTTCAACCAAATATCTGGATTAATATTTCAGCAAAAACAATATGCAGTGGTATTCTTTTCTATTTCTTAACATATGAGATAAGTTAAATCAAAGCTCAAGGAAAAGGATACTTTAATGATGGATGGAATTACTTTGATTTTTCACACATTATATCTTTTACAGCATTTTGTATTTTAGATTTTACATATGAAAGCCAAGATAACCTAATCTTGATCAAAATTCTGGTAATAATTTTGTCCTTTATGAAGCTATTCTTTTTCTTGAGAATATATGATGGCTTCAGTTTCTTGGTACAAATGATGGCTGGTGTCTTCAAAGACCTCAAATACTTCTTATTATTCTTTATCATTTTCATCTTGCAGTTTGGAATGATCTTCTTAGTCCTTTTCAAGGCTTAGTAAATTGATGAATACAATGGTGTAAATAAGTTGGCATACTTCTTGATGGCTTTTAGAATTTCATCTGGTGACTTCCAGCTTGATGATTACCATAGTCAAACTGATGGATTAGTAATATTTACCTGGATCATTTGGTTAATAGCTGTTTTGACTTTGAATATCGTATTCATGAATTTCATAATTGCTGTTATTTCAGAATCATATGAAAGAGTTATGCAGAAATTAGTTGCTGAATCATTCAGAGTTAAAGCTAATATGATTGTTGAAAGAGAACAGTTTTTCACTGAAAATGATTTGAAAAGTACAAAATATTTCCCAAGCTATATTGTTGTCAGGAGACCATTAAATGCAGTGAGTAAGGAAGATGGGGAGTGGTAAGGATTTGTCAGAGATCTGAAGTAGACAATAAGGACAACAGCTTTTAAATCTAAAGCAGATATTATTCAAAATTCAAACTTGAAAAATTAAGAGTTAGATAAAGTCTGGGATGAAAAAATTAATATTTTGAATAAGAAGCATGATGAAAGTAGCAAGTAATTAGATGATCAAGTGAAAGGACTTGATGTACAAGTTAAAGGACTTGATGTACAAGTTAAAGGAATTGATAATAAAGTTCTCAAAATTCAAAAAGATATGAAATTTATAAAGAAATCCTTAACTAAAATACTTCAATAATATCAAATAGCAGACATCTTAATTTTGAAATA